AAAGAGAGAGAGAAAAAGACTCCACCCCCAGCAGCCACCTGCCAATAGCTCCTCAGCTGTGGGTGGGGGTCTCATGATCCCCTCCCCATCCATACTGGATGTTGACTTTGCCCTTTGCTTTTGAGATGGGAATAGGGTTTTCCAGTGAGTCGCATACTGTCTTACTGAAAATTATACCCATGGCCTTTGAGGGCTTAAAAGATGGAGGCAACCACCCTTCAGTTATATATTTTCATCCTCTGGTCCAGATCTGGCTGCCAGAAAGATGGTTTTGGAATGGAGAATTGGTTTATTTTCTGTTAACTAGGATTTCTAAGAAATCGTGTGACATGGGATAGGAAAGTCACTGTGGGGCAGGAACGGCCTTGTTCCACATGTGCTCCTGGACTGTTGAGGTGTTCAGGCAACAAACTTTAGCCTATCAAGAAGAGACGTTTTCCAAAGTAGAAGAGAACCAAGTTTCTAGGCGCTGTATTTTCTAAAGCATTTGGTGAATACGTGTGTATAGTCTATGTCATGTGTCGGTTATACTTTTAAGTAGAGAGGGTTGCTCTATTTCAAGACCCATTTCATGAGGCTAGCATAACTCAGATATGAGAACCTTATAAAGACAGTGGGAGAAAAATGCCAGTCAGACCCTTCTTTTTGGATTTTTAAAAATTCCAAACACAGGGCTGGAGAGGTGCGCAGTGGTTTAGAGTCCTGGCTGTTCTTGGAGAAGACTCAGATTCTGTTTCCAGCACCCACATGATGGCTCACAACCACCTATTACTCCAGTTCAGGGACCCAGTGCCCTCTTCTGAAATGAGTGCTGGGGTGTAACTCGGTGGCAGAATGCTCCTGTGCCACGTGGAAGGCCATGGGTTCAATTGAGAAGACCACACACACAAAAGGGAACATGTTATAGAAACTAAATAATAACAATTAAATAACAGTAAATTTCCACTGGCTAATACACTTCCAAGTGGATTAGTAAGTGGTTAGACAAATGGAAGAAGTACTGGCCTGGGAACCGAGGCCTGGAGACACAGCCGCTGTCAGCTGTTCCCAGGCCCTGGGTCAGACCACCTCTGCACCTCCTCCTCAGTAAAAGGCCAGATAAAGGTGTTTATCACACACCACTGTTGTCCACCTCCCAACACAGACACACACACACATATATTCTAACTATAGTTCTTTGTGTGTGTGTGACGTTGGGGATGGCACCCAGGAACTCACACGTTAGGCAGCATGCTCCTTACATCCTTTCCATAGCCTAAGTGCTTTTCATTCTCCAAGCAAAACACCTCAGGGACTGATTGAATTGAGATCTGAGGAGGCTGTGGTTGGGGGATCAATTTATCTGCTTGGTTACTCACATTTGGAAGAGATAGCAGTGGCTTTGCCCAAATATACTTGGTAATGTTACTTCCTTTTTTTGTTGTTTTTTCGAGACAGGGTTTCTCTGTGTAGCTTTGCGCCTTTCCTGGAACCAGGCTAGCCTTGAACTCACAGAGATCCACCTGCCTCTGCCTCCCAAGTGCTGGGATTAAAGGCGTGCACCACCACCGCCCGGCCCTACTTCCTTTTTTTAAAAAAGTATTTTAGTTTATATGTGTTGCCTGCACTTATGTCTGTGTACCATGTCCATGACTGGTTCCCAGGGAGGCCAGAATAGGGCATTGGATCCCCTAGAACTAGAATTACAGGCAGTTGTGAGCCATCGTGTTGGGGCTGGGAATGAAATCCCCTCTTCCTCTGGAAGAGCAGCCAGTGCTCTGATCGCTGAGCCACAACTTCTAGGGTTTTTGTTTGTTGTTTGAGACAGGGTTTCTCTGTGTAGCCTTGGCTGTTCTGGAACTTTCTCTGTAGATCATGTTCCCCTGAAACTCGCAGAGATCCACCTGCTTCTGCCTCTTGAGTGCTGAGATTGAAGGCATGTGCCAACACCACCTGGTATAACTTTTGGTTTTTAATAATTGGTTGATAGCCCATCTTGAAACAAACAAACCAAACAAAAGAATTGGTTTAGAGCTATGTAATAAAGGTAGTTGATAGCTGTGTGAGGGAGTATATATAATTAGTAGTAGCTACTTGACAAGCTGAGGAAGATTGTTGGAGTCTAGGCAGTTAAAGCCAGCCTGAGCAGCATAGGAAGTCTGTATAAAAAACAGGCCTCCTTTGCCACCGCCCCCTGACAAAAATAGTTGTTAAGAAATAGAAGCTCGTGGGTTGGGGATTTAGCTCAGTGGTAGAGTGCTTGCCTAGCAAGCACAAGGCCCTGGGTTTGATCTTCAGCTCAAAAAAAAAAAAAAAAAAAAAAGACTTAGCATGACTTTTAGCAGCAAAAGCAAGATTTTTCTAAAAAAAAAAAAAAAGAAGTAGAAGCTCACTGCTCATGCCATTTACTATTTACAGAGGATATAAAGGAGTGGGGACAGGAAGGCCTGTGAGCCATTAGGCAAGAGGACAGTGCAGTTCTCATCTTGTTTAAGATGCCATGTTTGTGGATGTGTGGTACTGGGGCCTTGTGTTTGCTAGGTGTGCACTCTACTGCTGAGCACTATCCCAGATACCCCCATCTTTAAAAAGGTCTTCACTAAGTTCACCCAAATCGGACTCAACTTGTAATTGTCCCACGTCAGCCTCCCAAGTTGTCTTCAAGGAGATTTATGTGGGCTGTAGCCTGTTAATGCCCCCGCCCCCCATGGAGGACTGCTTTTGGATTGAATTCCAGAACAGCCCACCAAACTGACTTACATCGGTAAAGAACTGCTTTGCCCGATGCAACAGGACACTCAGGGATAGGTTGTCGGGTTTCACAGTACCTGAGTATCCCAGCTTTCTTGTATAAATTCACATATGATGTATCACAGCCTCAGGATGGCTGTTGTGCCAACAGACATCATGCTTGTGGTCTAAGCAGGAAGAATCAGTTCTGTCCATATGGAGAAGACACTTAGTGACTTTGCTGGAGTTCCACTCGCCTCCTTTTTTAGAATGGCCTAGATAAGAAGCAAAGGATTTCACTTCGTTAGCTGGTGAATTTGAAAGAATCTAAGGAAAGGGGAGTTGAGGTGGCTTTTTCTCAAGTCTCCTTTAAGGCTTTTGGTCTTGTAGGTACTACGAATGATGGTTGGAGTGAATATCTCGGATGAGCAGCTGGGCAGCATCGCAGACAGGACCATCCAGGAGGCCGATCAGGACGGGGACAGTGCCATATCCTTTACAGAATTTGTTAAGGTCTGTCCACCACCTTTTGGTTTTTTTCCTCTCAGTTCCTTTTTATTAGCATATATGAGTTACATTGAGTTTATTATAACATTTATGTTCATGTCTTTTTGGGGGGTGAAGATAAGAGTTTAATTGGGGTTACTCATAGGAGCATGGGGGGACTTATGAAGGGCTACACTACTGAAGAAAATGTCTTCCCAGCAACCATTAGTTCTCTGGATCCTTCGGGAGGGGTGTGCCCTTAGGAGCCTTTTCCCCTTACCTCTTGATTTTAAGTTAAATGCATAGGAAGAAAAAGGGGACACCCATTTTTATTATTTATATATTTAGAAGGGTACTCAGAATGGTCGTAATCTTAATGATAATTTTTGTTTGTTTTTCAACTCCAGGTTTTGGAGAAGGTGGATGTAGAACAGAAAATGAGCATCCGGTTTCTTCACTAAAGGACAGGGACCAAATTATTCTTGCTTTCTAGTATTTAAGAACTGGAACTTCCTTCTGTCCTCCAGCCCCACCCTGTCCCATCATCCCCCTTTCCCAGAATACTACTGCTCTTGCATGACAACCTGAAGTCTTTCTTGTCCACACAGACTTGCCTTTGGTGTATAAACAGGGCGTTACAGAATGGTACCCTCAGTCTTTTTCTGTTCAGTATGCACCCACCAGGTCTCTATTTGTAAGTGACATCTTCCCCTGTTTTGCTGCTGAATACCATGCATCCATCCTGTCTGCGGAAATGAGATAGGGACTCGTGTCAAGAACCAGCCAGCAAAGCTCCCACTGGATGGAGACTGCATCCACGCTGCCTTCCCTTCATCGAGCCTCTGTCATGGTCCTGTGTCCTTGTGTCCTTTACTTCCTACCTCCCTGTCGCCCAGCCTTCTGTCCATTTGGTCTTTAAGCCTCCCTCTTTTTCATTGAGATTCCCTGTGTCTCCTTGACTCCGGGCTCTGCTGTCAAGCCTGTCTCTGATGTGACAGACTGGTGAGTGGTCTGGTGGTTTGTGTCTACCTTCTCCTGGCTGTGTCTCTGGGACATTGCCTATCCAGGAGCCTTTCAGCAACCAGTACAACTCTTGGAAGCACGTGACTCTCTTGGTCCCCTG